TCTCATTATATATCTAATTATCTTTATAAATAAATATATTATATAATCAGGAATTTGGTTTTATCTCTCTAGAGAACCTTGTCTAACACCCAGTTCCTTAGTGCAGAGCCTGGCATATGGTGGGTGCTTAATAAATTCTATTTTAATGGAATTGAATTATTTGTAGATTGGCTTTTCTTCGACTATAGGAATATAGGTGCTAAATCCAGAACACTTTGGTAGTTTGCCATTGGGCTTCTAGTTGAATGTCTTGGTTGACAGGTTCATTAGCTCACAGTGTCTTCTGAGGGATTCTTCTGCATAGTCCATGGTTTCTAGTTGAAATAACCTCCCCTGTGAATTGTTGTGCGAATAGATCTTCCCCATGGAATGGCACAGGGTAAGTCTCCTCCTGCTTCTGCCTGATGTTCCTTCAAATCTCCGAGGATCGCCTCCCCATCTCTCAGTGCGTTCATGGCACGTTCAAGTTCAGAGCCTCAATGAGCACTTTTCATTAGCTAGGGCTTCCGGACATTTTAAGATTCTATTTATTCACTTCAAAATGTGTTATAGTTTGCTAGTGTCCCTCTTAAAACGTGGAGCTCTGAATTTAATTCATGTTGTAAATTTGCATTCCCCCCCTAGGATATGATCTTGTTGTCAGCCAGCTCCTAGTACGTTCTCTCCTGCCTTGGGTGGCGGCTCTTCCTTTAGGACATTTAACACATCATCAGCTTCTAGCTCTAAGCGCATTCTCTTGCTTGCAGGCGATAGACACAGTAGACATCGGCTAGCTCTGCCGTCTCTGTGCCGTATGCCACTTCATTCTGCCGCTTCAGACCCAACATGCTTTTGTTGTTCTTGCTTAACAAACTCCTTTTTGGGGGGAGTGCTTTTGTGAATGTTCCTTAAGCGTCTGTTTGCTTAGCGTTTTAACCTATGCAGAATACATTGTGTGTGTGTGTCTTTGGCATGGGCTCTCATCTCATCTCTTTAAGTGATTTAGAAAAAAATGTGAACCCAAGATTCCCTTTGATGGCCCATTGTTTCCTGTAACATACCGTCCCCTGTCCCCTCTGCTTTCTGTGTGTGTCTGAATTTCAATGCATCCTTTCTAATCACAGGATCAATATGTCATAACACTAGTGCTTGTATTTGTACTTAGATATTTTTGTATATTGTAATTTGTACTGATATATGTTTATTATAATGATTTAAAATGATTCATTTCTCTGGTTTTGATGCTGCACTTCTGTAGTCTGGTTTGTGCCCCCCCCACCCACCATGGTGTGTGTATGTGTGCGCGCACGCTCACCTCCCAATCACATGGTCAGAATGACATGCTATTTCCTGATGGTATTTCATCATGCGTCTTTCTTGCTGGTTTTAATCAAGCTCAGATGCAGCATCCCCCTCTTCATTTTCTTCACCTCAGAGACCTGATTTCCGTAGAAAAGGAAGTCTGCTGATCAGATTTCCAGCTTTAGACTTGGAGCAGATGGTAGCAGAGTTGAAATCCCTCCATTCATCCCTCTCCATCCATTTTCCAGGCCAGTTTCACAACCAGACCTGAGAGCCCACGTCCATGCCCTCGATGGTCCCACGCAGTCTCGTGTGCCCTCAGCAGTATGGGGCTCTCTTTCGTGGAGGTAGTCCCAGTTTGACTGAAGGGCATGTCTGCTAGCCCGCCTCGACTCCTGCTGGCTCTGGGTGCGTGGAGGGGTTTTTTGACTCAAGGAAAATGCACGCAGTGGCTGACTGACCTTTACAAACTGAAATTCTGTAGGAATCCCATGTCCTTGTGTGGAGAGCTGTTGGTTTCTGTGCGTGCTGAAGACCAACCGCTCCATGATAATAGACGATGGAATTTTGTGTGGAAAAATTCCATGATCTTTTAGTTCCATTTTCTCACCAGTGCTGTGAAGTGCCCCCCGCCACCCCCCACCCCCACCCCCCCACACAAGGAACAAAATCAAACAGTGGATGCGCATGGCCCAGGTCAGGCCCACAGGTATGCTGATAAGAAAAGGCAGCAGTCAAACCAAGGCCTTTTCCTTACCTGCTGGTGTGGTTTAGAATTTCCTGCAGGCCCAGGAGCCACACCAGGCTATTGTGTGACCTGCTCCCTTTCTTCCTGCCCCTCCACCGACCATCTCCCTGTCTCTTTTCCCGAGTGCAGAGCCAGGTGAGGAGCAGAGTCTTAGGTGCAACAACATTGCAGAGCTGAGTCCGGGAGCCATCAATTCCTGTCGGAGCGAGTACCACGCCGCCTTTAACAGCATGATGATGGAGCGCATGACCACCGATATCAACGCGCTCAAGCGGCAGTACTCTCGGATCAAAAAGAAACAGCAGCAGCAGGTCCATCAGGTGTACATCAGGGCAGGTAATGCAGGGCTGCCCTGCCATCCACCCCTACTGCCTCAGCGCGTGAAGGAAGAGCCAGCCTTCCCAGAACGGCCTCGGTTGAAATTACTGTCACAAGCTTACTAGCTGGCACGAGATAATAGCATCGTGTGGAGTCTCATTTTTATTTTATCTTCTCAGGTTCTAAAGAAGAAATAGACCCAGGGTTCTTTTCAGGCTCCCAGGACCAGGGCATCGATGGTATTAAGCCTGATGTCACCGTGGGCACTGGTGGAGAGGGGTTTATGGGATGATTTGAATGTTTGCAAAGCTGTGCAATCCTTGGACTTGGGAGATTCTGCAGCTATTGTCTCATAAATTTGATGCATGTGAAAATAGGATTTCATCATCTAGGCCAGTGGTTCTCAACCTTCCTAATGCCGCGACCCTTTAATACAGTTCCTCAGGTTATGGTGACGCCGCAACCATAAAATTATTTTCATTGCTTCTTTTATAACAGTCATTTTGCTACTGTTACGAATCAGGCGATCCCTGTGAAAGAGTCGTTTGGCCCCCAAAGGGGTCGCGACCCACAGGTTGAGAACAGCTGATCTAGGCCCTAGCAAGTTAAGTTGTCCACTGGTTGCTTAGGTAGCAATGTGATCGATGTGGAGCCCTGGTGCTACAAATGGTTACATGTTCTGTTACTTAACTGCTATGTTGACAGTTCAAACCCACCCAGTGCGCTCTGGGAGAAACACCTAGGGTCCATGAAAACCACAACCAAGCAAGCCCTGCAGGCAGCTCCACGCTGTCACATGTGAGGTGGCTGTGAGCCAAAATTGAGGGGATGGCACCGAATGACAATAGAACAGATGATATGGTCAGAGACGGAGGCGGGGCGGAGCAGTGCTTTGGGAGTCTGCTGAGAAAGCACAAGTGTGCGACAGTTGGGGTCCCTGGTGAGGAACTAGCTGCTGGCTGAAAAGCGGGACATAGGAGTTCCGGGAGAGGCGCCTCAGGAAAAGGCCTGGGGTCTTCCTCTGGGGTGGGAAACTGTCATTGAGAAGCCTCTGGAGCCTAGTTCCACTCTGACGTACATGGGGTTACCCTTCCGGTCGTCAGTAGTGCTGTCAGAAACACTCTTTTCCAAGGATTGTCCAGCTGCTGTGGGTTTATTCCTTTTTAAAATATATGATTCCAAGAAATCTGCTTTATTTTTTAAAACTGTCTGATTTTGGAGCTGATTTATCATGTTCTGAATGAAAATCCTAATGAAAATGATATCTATGCAGGGTTAATCAAGATATAAATTAGGCCCCCCCCTTTTTTTTTGAGGTTTAGGAGCATGTGACTGACTGCTCAAAAGCTGAATTCATCTTCCATATGTTGGGGAGAAATAGACAACTTCTTTTAGTTTTCCTTAATATTTTGAATTGGGTGGAGGTTTACAGAGCAGATCCGTTTTCTCTGCAACAGGGCATACACACTTTGTCTCCTGTCACCTGGTGCAGTACCCACCGCGTAGCATCACTCATCCCATGTCCTACGAATGTTCACTGTATCCATTCCTCCTCCTTCCCTAACCCTCCTGAACTTTGTCCTTGGTACTGTGCCCCCCTTTTGATCTTAAATGGTTGTTGATTCCAAGTTGTGTGAGTAGTGTTGTCATTCTCCTTACTGACCTGTTTATTATTTGGCTGAAACTGAGCCGTGGGACTGCGTTGATTTCCAGAACTGAAGAGAAAGGGTCTTAGTCTTAAAGGGTCTTAGTTTCCACCAGCCTCTATCTGACCATTAAGCCGGTCTTTTAAAATGATCTTGAGTTTTGTTCCTTGCTTTTCTCCAATTTTATCAGGGACCTCTTAATTTGATCCCATTCATAACAATTGGTAGTGGTAACTGGGCACCATCTAGTTCTTCGGGTCTCTGGGTTATGGAGACTGACGTTCATGTGGTCCAGTGGACTAATTATTTCCACGTACTTTAGGCTTTCTTCATTCTTCTTCCCTCCAGACAGGGAGAAGCCAATCATTGGACGTTATACAACCACTCATGAGCTTTTGAGATCCTAGTGCCTACTCACTAAAGTAGGATGTACAGCCTTGTCTTTGTACCTTATGATAAGGCAATTCTTAAAGATGCCTACTTTCTCCCGGGTCATCCAGAAAGAATCACAAAAGAAACTTAACAATAATCAGACCACTTTAATTTTTAAAAAATCATTTGGGGGTGGGGGCTCGTACAACTCTTATCACAATCCATACATATATCCATTGTGTCAAGCACGTTTGTACATTTGTTGCCATCATCATTCTCAAAACAGTTTCTTTCTACTTGAGCCTTTGGTATCAGCTCCTCATTTTTCCCTTCCCTCTCCACTTGCCTCATGAACCCCTTTTAAAAAAATATTTTACTGGGGGCTCGTACAATTCTTGTCACCATCCATCCATCCATCCATCCATTGTGTCAAGCACATTTGTATATTTGTTGCCATCATCATTCTCAAAACATTGGCTTTCTGCTTGAGCCCTCCATAAATTATTATTTTGTCATGTCTTACACTGTCCAACATCTTCCTTCACCCACTTTTCCATCCCCATGAGAGGGGGTTATATGTAGATCCTTGTGATCGGTTCTGCCTTTCTACCCCACCTTCCCCTTCCCCTCCTGGTATCATTACTCTCATTATTGGTCCTGAGAGTTTCATAAACCCTGAGGGGTTTATGTGTCCTGAATTCCCCGTGTTTCCAGTTCTTGTCTATACCAGTAAACATCCTCTGGTCTAGCCAGATTTGTAAGGTAGAATTGGGATCATGATAGTGGGGGGGAAGAAGCATTAAAGAACTAAAGGAAAATTGCTATACTGCACCCTGACTGACTCATCTCTTCCGTGTGGCTCTTCTATAAGGGATGTCCAGTTGCCTACAGATGGGCTTTGGGTCCCTACTCCACACTCCCCCCTCATTCACAATGACATGATTTTTTTATTTATTGATGCCTGATACCTGATCCCTTTCACACCTCATGCTGACACAGGCTGGTGTGCTTTTTCCACGTGGGCTTTTTTGCTTCTCAGCTAGATGACCACTTGTTTATATCCAAGCCTTTAAGACCCCATCACTATATCTTTTGATAGCCACCACATCAGCTTTGTTCACCACATTTGCTTATGCACCCACTTTTTCTTCAGCGGTTGTGTCAGGAAGGTGAGCATCTTGGAATGCCAGTTTAATAGAACAAAGTGTTTTTGCATTGAGGGAGTACTTGAGTAGAGGCCCAATGTCTACTTGTTACCTTAATACTAAGCCTATAAATATATGCACATAGATCTATTTCCCCATAGTATAGTCATATATAAATATATTACAGGTGTACATGCCTGTATTTAGACCTCTATAAATGTCCTTTGCCTCCTAATTCTTTTCTCTATTTCCTTTTACTTTCCTCTTGTCCCACTATCATGTTCAGTCTTCATTTGGGTTTCAGTAATTCAGTTACATTGCCTTTGATCAAGCCCTACCAGTCCTCCTACACCCTCCTCACCATCGATTTTGGATCACTTGTTGTTCCCTTGTCCCTGGGTTTGTTAACACCCACATCCTTTCCCCCAACTCCCCCTCTCCCATGTCCCACCCCCCCCACCCAACCATCAGTTCCGTTGTTTTCCCCTCCAGATTGTTTATCCACCTATCTTACCTAGATAGACCTGCACAAAAAACAAGACAGCAAAACAAAGCAACAAAAGAAAACAAAACAACAAAAACAATGACAAAAAAAAAAAAGGAATGGTGTAAGAGCCCCCAATGAAAGTATTTTAAAAAAAAGAAAGAAAAGCCTGTAAATAGTTCAAGGTCTGTTTGTTGACCTTTAGGAGTGTTTTCCAGGCAAATCTGCCCGGGTGCCATGCGCTGGCCCCAAAGTCCAGACCACTTTAAGTTTTACACTTACTTTGTCTCTGAAATAAATCTACAAGGCCCAACACTGCTCTTCGAAAGAGGCGCCCTGGTGGTGTAGTGGGTCGTGTATTGGGCTGATCAGCACAAGGTCAGCAATTTGAAATTACCAGTCTCTCCACATTAGGAAGCTGAGGCATTCTACTCCCTTAAAGATTTTCAGCCTTAGAAACCCCACAGGGGCAAGTCCCCTCCATCCCAAAGGTCACTAGGAGTTGGAATGCACCCAGTGGCAGGGGATTTTGGTTTTGCTTTGGTTTAAAAGAGGAAGATACGGTTTTTCGGAAGCTTTCTCGCTCATCCAGGGTGCGATGGCTATCGGGAATGGTCAAACCAGGGCTAGAACCCAGAGGATTCTATTCTTTCTGTAGTTCTTTTTCAATGATACAGTACCCAGTTTTGGGTGGAATGGTAAACCTGTGCCCCTCGGGACTGAATCCACCTGGTGGCTTGTTCCCTTGGTCAAGGGCTATAAACTATGACCCGCAGGCCAAAATTTGCCATCTGGTTGTTTTTGTTTTGGGAGAAAGTTTGCACAGCAAATTCCGTTTCCACTTAGTAATTTCGACGCATATTGCTCAGTGAAAGTGGTCCCGTTTTCCACGTTCACCGGCATTCTCCTATTTACATTCTGGTTGTTCAATTTCTATCATTCCCGCTCTCCTGTCTACCTTCTCTCTCCTCTTTGTGCTTCAGGGAAGGAACATGCTCACCATTTGTTCACAAATAGATCGCTGAAGCTTGGTTGGAGCAAAGCCAGGCCCATTTGCGTACCTGTTGTTCCTGGTCGCTTCTGCATTAACAGCAGAAAGAGCTGAGCAGCTCCTTACATTGGAAGCTGAGCCCTGCTCTGGGTCATGATTCATAGGGTTCTCTTGAAGGGTGGGGTGGTTGCTTCTGGGCTCCGTTCTAGAACGTTAGTGCGCATGTGAATCACTGAGCATCTGCTGACGTGCTGATTCTGCTTTAGGAGCTTTGGGTGGGGCCTACATTCTGCATTTCCAAAAAGATCCTAGGTGATGCTGGGGGTGGGGAGTGGGGGCGACCTCACTTCGAGTAGTCAGGTTTTACAGGAAATGGTATAGGGTTGGATGAACAGCAGGTGAAAAAATTGGCTTTGAGCAAAAGGCAAATGACCTCTACTTTGTGGACTTAAAAGGAAGGCGATAAGGGTGATGGTTGAGGCACCCATCTCTTAGAGGAGGGAGGGCAAGAAGCTGAGGCCTTCATTCCGATAGCTTTAGTTTTCATGGAGTAATTGGAGGAAAAGTCATATACTGGGAGTAAGTTGGGGGTTGGGTAGGAGCATTAGGAAAAGCCATAACGATTTAGATTGGTCATTGAGGGGAATCACAGAAGTAAAAAAAAAAAAAAGCAATATTGAGAACCCTGCAAAATGGAGCATCAGGAAATTGAAGGTTATCCATCTAAATGACTATCTCCCACCCCCACCCCAATTAATGGCCATTAGTATCTCAGGTTTCCTTAGAGAGGGTGTGAATTATGGGTCTAGGGCCCAGGAGCCCTGGTGTCGAAGTGGTTATGTATTGGGCTCCAATCCACAAGGCAGCTCCTTGGGAGAAAAGATGCGGCTTCTTCTACTTCTGTAAACGCTTATAATCTTGGCAACTCACAGGGGCAGAACCACCCCTGTCCTGTAGGTTCACTGTGAGTCGCCATTGTCTCGATAGCAGTGAGAGAGAGACCACGGGGGACAGGAAGCCCTGGAAGGTATGGTTACTGGTGAGACATCGGTCTAGGTGATCAGCCGGGCTTATGAGTAAGGCAGGGGGTGTGAGTGCGCCAAAGATGATGGAAGAGAGGCTGTGAGAAGACTGAAGGCGCAGTGTCTGTGCTCAGTGCCAGATCTAGTTACACCTAAGAGGAGGAGAGCTAGGAGAGTCAAAGAGAACACTATTCGAGTTAGATGCCCACTGTGTCAAGTAGACCTGAGGGATTGGTTCAGGGTGCAAACATCGGTGTGGGCTGGAGGTGAAGTCCTGGGACTGGAGTGTTTGAGGAACTAGGAAGATAGGTCATGGGTGGGCCAGTCACAGAGGCTAAAAGACGAGGGGTAAAGAGGAGACAGGTGTCGCGTCTTCACTGAACTCTTGAACATTAGGCTGTGACCAAGGGTGGATGCCATCAGTAGAAAAGTGTGGGCGGAAGTTCATCCAGGTGACAGGAGCGCCAGGGAGAAAGGGTGTTGGCACCGAGAGGCCTTCTCTCCTGTGACAGGCTGGATTGGAAAGAGGAGCCCAGGAGGGAGATTCTCTCTGCGTTGCTTGCAGGGAGAACACAGCTCTTGTTTGAAGTCTATCGAGGACATCAAAGTGGTTTCTTGTACTTGGGGCAGGCATTGGATAGCTGTGATTACACTGCATGATGATGGTTTTCTCATGATCACTTCTCTCATTCTGCCGTCTCTCACTTCTTCCCCTGCCTCTCAGAAGCTGATAGCTGATTGCCCATCTGCTCAGAGTGTTGGTCTTATTCTTTTAGAAAAGCTTCCAAGGTTTTCTAGATGAAAGAGCCCTGCCGCTCAGGGAGGGTCTCCTCTGTAACCAGCACACGGGGGAGCTGAGGCTGTCAGGCTTGATGAGGGGCCAGCCTCTTCCCTTTGAAGGAGAGGAGATTGGTACCTGGGGCTCCGTGGTGGAATTCAGCTTCTGCCGCCATCAGTCACAGGACTCTGCCGACAGCTGGGAAGACGTGGGAAAGGGGCCACGCCAGCTCCCTGTGATGTCTGTGTGGTGGCGAATGTGGTCCTCAGCCCTGTTTCACACACCTGTCAACATTTCTTTTCAGACAAAGGGCCCGTGACCAGCCTCCTCCCGTCTCAGGTCAACAATTCTCCGGTCATCAACCACCTTCTCTTAGGAAAGAAGATGAAAATGAGCAGCCGAGCTTCCAAGAACGCTGTCATCCACATCCCGGGTCACACGGGAGGTAAACTCTCTCCTGTGCCCTCCGAGGACCTTCAGACCAAGCTCAACTCTCCCTGGCGGACTCACATCCGCGTGCACAAAAAGACCCTGGCGAAGACCAAGAGCCAGCCGAAGAGCCAGCCGGGCTGTGGGGACACCATCGGGCTGATCGAGGAGCAGACTAGCAGCCTGGGGGAGTCCGAGGTGTTTTCCGCCCGGGGGGCAGCCATGTCGGAGGGGAGGGCAATCGAAGGGCAGTCCCCAGAGCCGGAGTTTGAGGATGCTGACGCCAGCGTGTCTGCAGTTCAGGTGAAGCTGGAAGGCTTGGAACTGACCCCAAGGGACACCACTGCCGACACGCAGCCCAAGGGGTACCCGCAGGGCCCATGGGACCTCCCGGAGCAGCCAGACGCGCCGGGAGAAAACAAAGCCACCAGCAGACCCCACCAAGGCAGCAATCCGAAAACGCCCATGTTTAGCCCCTTCCCCAGTGTCAAGCCCCTCCGGAAGTCAGCCACCGCCAGGAATTTAGGACTGTACGGCCCCACGGAGAGGACGCCCACCGTGCACTTCCCGCAGATGAGCCGGAGCTTCGGCAAGCCCGCCGGCGCAGGGGGCTCCAAGAATCGGTGAGGGCTTT